TTGAACGAAACAAAAGATGTCTATTAGCCTACATGTAAGTCATAATTTTGAATGTTTAACATCCCCTAATAATAGAAATGCAGAGTCTGAAAAAGGATTACAGATCTTAAAATGGTTATTTCTTCCTGGTTTTTGGTATCCAAGAGCTCCAAAAATGTAAAAAGGCTTATGAACAACATTTGGGAAAAAAAAGAGTTTTAGGTTATAACAATCAACCTTTGAACCCAGAATCCTTATATATAATAGTGGCTAGGGTTCCACGGCTCCGAGGTAAAAACAATAAATTCCAAGTCATAATATCTCATGAAATTTTTTTTTTTGTAGATCATAAGCCACTCAACACTTTTAGATCTCCTGGATGTCAAAGACCAAGAAAAAATAGAAATTTAAAGCTTTGATCCTTTTTGCAACTCCCCATCCCTGCTTAACATTATCTGAAAACTTTTCCATGTGACAAATCACAAGTTGTTTTTTTTAATAAATTTTTTTAGTTACAATCGTATGATGCATCTGAAGACATTAAGATGGGAAATTGGCAGTGTACTTCCATCAGAAATTAAAATAAATTTGTGTGAACAAGAGGTTGTATTTTTAAAGACAATTGTTTGCTATATTTTTCTCATTGTGCTGTTATCTTATAATAGCATTAATTAATATCTTATTTATATATTCAGTATATAAGTTAACAAAAAGTTTTTGTTTAATAAAATAAGTTTAATTATTAACAATAAGATTTAAATAAATTGGAGTTATTTATTATTAATGATTAAATATTTTATAACTTTTCATTGTATTTTTTTTAATTTTTGATTTCTTTACATTGGAATACTCTGTTCCTACTGTGATAAACAAAACAGTTAAAAAAAACCTCATGCGAGTGCAATGTTTATATTCAATGATATATTTTATTAGGTAGAATTGTTGTGCAGGTCATAGATCATTTTTGGTTTTTTAACTCATAGATGCTTTCATACCTGTTGTTTGAGAGTTGATGTCATGGTCAGACTATTATAAAATGAACTTGTTTTTGCTTCATAACTTTTAAATTAATCTAATGGTTTTCATCTAATATTATTCTTAATAATAAAAATAATAATATTCTTTGTTGTTATTATTATTAGATTTAAAAAAGATAATTTAAAACTAAATGTTTTACAAAGTTTTTGTTAAAAAAGTTGCTTAAAAAATTTGAATACTCTCTAACAACTATCATCTAGCCATATCTAACAAACCCACAGTAAGATCTTTGGTGTTTTCCTTTTATACAACCTCTCTAACAAACACACCGTAAGATCTTTAGTGTTTTCTCTTATTACAACCTCTGTAACAAGTTTTTTAAACAATGTTTTATAAACTAAAGATTAACAGAATATTTTAAACAAAAATATAAATCAAGTACAAAGTACAGAGTGAGATATAAAATATTATGTAAAACATTAGTTTACATTACATTAAAAATGGGATTGCTAAAGGATTTAATAAACATAATGAGTTTATCCTTTAGATTCAATGGTTTGCAACATATAGCAAGATGTTCACAAATTACATGATGACTGTGGCAGGTACTGGCATCGATCTTACTCAGGTATGTAATAAATCAAAAGCGATCAAGATTCACAAGTTTCTATCATTACTATGCTAAAGCATCAATCAATTATAACATTCTAGTTTTGCTAAATAGTTAATAACCTCTGACAGCATTAGTTCGTGTTACCACAAAAAAGTTATCTTCTGTAAAAATGGTTTTACTGATAAATGATCAAACACTAGTTATGAACATACTAGATTCGGCAAATTCTAGTATATTCATAACTAGATGTGATGCAGAATTTTTATGGGTGACTTTAGCTTTTATTATATGTCTATTTTTCTGTTCATAAAAATAGACATATAATAAAAGCTAAAGAATTAAATCTTGACACTGTCATGCATGTATCTTGACACTGTCGTGCATGTATCTTGACACTGTCATGCATCTATCTGTAACATGTGGCCAGAGATTGAGTATTCCAAAATGTTTTCTACAAATCTGATATATAAAAATTCAAAAAATATTAAGCTTTTACAAACTCTTTTTTTACAACAGTTGCAGAAAATTCATTAAATCTTCTAATTCTTTAATTAAATGATCTTTAAGAAAAAATGTTTGAATCTGAAACATCAAGAGTTTAAACTTGATCAAGAGCAATTGAGTATTAAGCAATATGATAGAGATAAATATTTTTATGGATCAAAAGTTTGTGTTTTTAAACACTCATTTTCATTTCAAGGTTGTGATATATCAAACTTAGTATAAATTGGTATAGAAATAGTCTGTTATTTGTTTTTCTTTTTTTTTTTTTTTAATAAAATTATAATAAAAGAAAATTTTTTCATTAGGTTTAGAAACATGAGGCTTTGAAACATATATCAATACTAAAATTCTTATCTTCATTGTATGTGATTTCTTATATTCAATAAAAAACATCTAGAACTCTATGTTTCTGAACCCCCTTTTTTTTTCTAGTAAAAGTTGCTCCACCCTATTGTGCGTGGCACAATTTTTTTTCTTTTTTCTTTAAACATTTTAATTTGTAAACAAATTGTTTTGTTTTTAATAATTGTGTTGCTTTGATTATTTTAGAATATGGTTCCACCTAAATCATTGTTTATAGAGGTACAATAAACTCTGTGTGTGTATATATATATATATATATATATATATATATATATATATATATATATATATATATATATATATATATAATATATATATATATATATATATATAAACTTATATATATATATATAAACTTATATATATATATATATAAACTTATATATATATATATAAACTTATATACATATATGTGTGTGTGTTTATAACTAATATTTAGAAGCCTAAGTTTTTGATTATGATACATGTTTACAATATTTTATTCATATTTTATAAAAATGGTTAAATGATACATAGATTTTCTTTGAGTAATTACATTATGTTATACATGTTAACTGATTGTCTGCTTCAATTTGTTCCAATAACATACAGAGGATTAAAATAGACTTTTAAATATATTATATATACTATATAATATGATGCTACTAAAAATAACCTTACATATTATAAAGTCTACCTAAATCATCGAGTGCAAACAAAAAACAAAGTGAAAGTTTTTTTTTATGTATTAAATAATAAAGAATTAATATCTTATAATTTATCAGTTCTTTTTAACACTCCTGAATCTGTTATTAGTTTTTTGTTTTTTAAATTTTATTTCAACTTTCACCGCTGCTATAATGAATATTAAAAACTTTTAATTTAATTCATTAGTTAGAATAAAATAGTATATAGAATATTAGAAAAATGCAAATTTTTTATTTTTTTATTTGACTTAATTCAATTCCCAAACCCAAGGAGGCACTACAGTTTAGAAGGCTTTATTGTTGTTACATTCCTCAACTCTTTAACTTCAAAACACAAATTTTGACAAACAAGGTAACTGCATGCAAAAACAGTTTGTGCACAGTACTGCCAGGGTGATGATCAAACTTGATTTTTCTTGCTTACAAAGTGAGCACTCTATCACTACACTGGTGTTATATTATTTTCAGGTATTCATTATTAAGAGTTTCTTGGTCTGCTGAATATGTTTTCTGACCACAAGAAAATTTGACATTCAAAATTTTTTAGCACCATAAACTCCAATAGCAATTACAACTTCTCTGTTATTTTATGAAAGCTGGCTTTAATATCTCTAAAGACAACTAATAACTTTGTGAATCAACAAAGCTCTGTATATCAACAAAAGTCAATATCTGAATATCTGTATAACTCTGTATATCAACCCTAATATCTGTGTAGTCCACAAAGCAATATCTTACATAATGTTTTCTAAAGTAGAGTTTTCATGTCTTATAATTGCTTACTTGCTAAAAAATATCTTTCTTTAGCAGACTTTTTACTGCCAAACTTATTTCATTGTTTCATATTTCTAAAAAACAATTTATCTTCTTACAAAACAACTTTTCCTACACTTCACCTCTAGAGGATTACTTTGTTACCTGGAAGTAAGAACAAATTTATAGCTTGCTTCAAACAAATCATCAATAGCAGATGCAGTTGTACATACTGTTGTAATAAGAGCATGTTGAATTTGTTTAGATAATGTCAAATATTTATATCTTAACCTAATTTTAATCTGATTTGCAATTTCTCTATAAAATGGGTGTTTCATAATTGCATAGTACTATTACTAAGCTAATTGGATAGCTTTTTGAAGCCCTAGAATAAAATAATACTTTATAAACTTACTTTTTAAATTTCATGCTATATTTTCGCCGTTATATTCACCACTTTCATATTGGGCTGCTTTTAACATATGCATTTCATCTACAAGAAGTATAATATCACTTTTTTCACACAATTGTTTAGTAAACAACATGAAATTTCTCAAATGTAAATCATGGGGGAGAATGTTGTTCTACCAAAGAATCAAGGTTGATTATTTTATCAACATTTTAAAAAAATACATGTAAAAAAATATACCCATTCTCACAAATCACTTTCTTTAGGAAAATAAAATGTCTTTTTTTGGACCATTAAAGTTATAATATTATATTAGATATATTACAGTTGGACCATTAGTGACCAGTTTTACAATTTGTTGTTTCAATATTACATTACTATTTTTACATCTAAAACAGTTTTTAAATCAAGTTTTTTTTTTTTAATTTTTTTTTTTTTAAATCAAGTTTTTAAATCAAGTCAATATAAACAGATATATTATCATGTATAATATTGTATACTTAAAAGAGTTCTCAATCGATAAACTAGAGCTATGTACTATACATGTTACTGTTACCCGCAGTACCAGAAGTTAGCATTTAGCTAATTCCTGGTACATATATATGTATATATATATATATATATATATATATGTATATATATATATATATATATATATATATATATATATATATATATATATATATATATATATATATATATATATATATATATA